TTGTTGCAATTATTTAATAAAGATGGTTTCAAAAAAAGTAGGAATAACATGGGCCTCAGCACTAAACATTGGAGAACACCATGTTGAATATTAAGTTCTCTTGAGAGTTTATTGTTGGACCTGAGTTCTTCCTGAAAGATACGATCTAACTAAACCAATCCTGGGCGACCCCTCGAAAACCATATCAAAATCATTTTTGCAGCAGAACTTGAAATGTTCATTACCATTAAACCCTATGCAATGTCCTGGGGTTGAATTTGTTTTTTGCTGAAGTCTTGCAATTATTTGCATATATACTGGACAGGATGTATTTTGGGCAGAATAATATCTTTGGGATAAGCTTGATCTCTACAAGTTGGAGAATCAAGAGCATTTGCAGTACTCTGCCTACTTACTTCTTATATACTCCTGGACAAAATTATCGCACCACTGCTTATGGTGATGCTTATGTGCAGTGGTGCAATAATTTTGTCCAGGAGTATATTATACACACTAGGTACCACATTTATGACCACAGTCATTGGTAACTTGGCCAAATAAACATTACTTTGATCAATTGAAGAATTGGCATTGAGATAAATTCTTAAAACATCAAAGCAGTATTGAGTATTTTTAGCTTAGCAAGCATCCTATCATGAACTACTTAACTGTAATTAGTGTGAAGTGTAACTAGATGATAATATATTAACATTTATCAACACTATTTGCTACAGTGACCGATTGCCCTTAAAAACATTTGTTTTTGTAATCAGTAAATATCAATATTTGTAATTGATTGGAAAACTCTCACATATCCAAACTTACTAATCTCCATGCCTGAATTTAAACAATCAATTATCAATCGGGATAACTCATTAAATAAATGATTATATTACATAGATTGCTTACCTAAAATGGCGGACTGCCTACCGGCGAAATCATCCTCTAAAATTCAACACAATTTATTCGTAGTTGCCGCTAAAAACCAATGATTGTGGCGAAATTATTTGAATTTGTGTATTTAGCACAACTAAAATTGGCCATAGTGGCCTCACTTCATAATTTGGGAATTAAAAAAACCAATATATTTTGATTTGTAAAAGATTCTTTCGCCAAAACCAAGCCCAAAAGACTCGTAAAAAGCTACAGACCCACACACAGCCCACCACAGCGAGACGACAACGACACCGCACGCACCACGACGACAACGAACGGCAAATATCTATCAAAACAAGAAAATGTCAATGGACTGTCAAAACAAATCTAACCTCACTTCTCAGCTTTTAGGCAGACTTCACACTAGAGGCGTTTTCTCGCGTCTACTTTTTTAAAACTGGTTCAAAACTGTTTTGAAACAGTACATTAACGCGATAATCCCATGACGTCATGTCAAAACTGGTTCAAACCGTTTCGAAATACAATCCAATCCACGTTTTCAAACTATCTTCTCGCGCCAAAAAATTATGACGTCATGTTGACGATTACTTAAACCAGTTTTGAAACATTTGAGAAACGAGAAAACGCCTTTGGGCTGAGTTCGACTTTGCACTCCACATAACAGAACGGTATGAGCATGGATATCGTGACGTCATACGCGGTCATAAGCCGAACGCATAATAGAGCTGAAACGAACAGGATCGTCAGGATCTAATCGCTTTGAACGCGCTCGGAGTTTACCGAGTGTAAGCCGAACTCAGTCTCAAACTTCACATCCCTGACGTGCGGGCGGCGAATCACCCAGCATTGCCAGACGTACGACAGGTGTGGTGTTTGTACGACAGTTTAGGGCATCTTCGTTACAAGAAACTCAATCCGTACGGTAGTACGGTAATGTACCACAATTTTGACATATTTAATAGTTGATTGGGTAATATTTTATGGTAATAAGTACCACATTTCTAAATTCTCCTTTTTTTCTTATGTGTGTTGGCCAAATTAAGTTTGGGTGGGGTGGGGTTTGGGTACCTTGCTTGACAACCTTGCACGTGATTATGCTGGGCTATGTGATGTCAATTATGACATACTCCCCTAACTCCCTCCCCATGAAATTCTGGGCTTGCGACGTCACTATCAGCAGCTTATAGTGATGACGTCGCCCGCAGACCTCATTTGAATGCTTGCGATTTTTTTACGGCATCATAAGTTATTTAAATCTCGAGGCCAGAGCTATTTAAGCACTGATTTGAGATGCAAAAAAAAAAATATTCAAAAATTGTTATATTTCGAATTGTTAATAAAGTTGTTTCAAAAAAAAAGTTGTTTTCAAAACCTCTGTTAGGAACAATTAAAGAACGTCAGAAGGTTTTCTATGAGTTCGTAAAGTATGTTTTCATGAAAAGTCATGAGAGACGTTTTATAAAGGTTTCTAAAACGTCCTTTTTCGTTTTTAAGCGTTCGTATTAAAGCATTTTTGAAACGCTCATTTTCGGCGTCTATATGACGTTTGAAGTGATATTTGCATCAAATAAAAATGCACTTTTGGATATTCTCAGTTACTTTTACTGACTTTTTTAAAACGTTCTGACGTCCGATAGGATAATTTTTTGAAACGTTTCTATGCTATCAGGGTATATCTACATAATGTATCTGTTGATTGTTGCGAAGAGCTTGGATTGGCTAACTCTTACTTTGTTTGTTATGTTTCTTGTTTTATGTAAATACCTAGAGCCGGCCCTGCACACTACTACAGGATTGGTATCGGCCTCGATTTTTCGAATTAAGGTCATATACTGTGCATCGTTGTCGACGTCATCAGCGGTTGTAGTTTAAAATATACCTTTATGAGAAAAATATTATTTAATTTTGAATAATATAATAGGCAAAGAGGAAGATGCAAACGATATCTAAAAAGGGATGTTTTAGTATGCATGAGCCAGTCAGCGGAATCATAGTCTGTGGTGCAAACACCCTACGCCAAGGCAAGGAACGACACGCTGTCTACGTCATCACTGATACTTTGGCGTGCAGGGGCTCAAGATTTCATCTACAGAAGCCATATGCGGATAGGCTATCCTATGTAGTGTGTAATATCCTTAGATCTCCCTCTTCAACCGTCTCAGCTCCCAACCTGAAGCATCATCCGGTGATGCCGGGAGGGACTTGTGTATAGATAGAGTGTACCTAATGTATCTGTTATCAGATTTCTAGGTTTTTTTTTTCCAGTTTTCCTTTTTCAATAAGGGTTTTTTTTGTTCTCCGGTTCAACTTACTATCAAAGGTGGCATCCCTCAAGACAAACATTCAAGCTAAGCTAATGTAAATCATAGGGTACATTCAGGCGGTCCCAGCGGCTTAGCTTAGTCTCTCAGCAGGAACTTTATTCTTGAAACCAAGGAACAGCGTTCTCATAAGAACTATTACTCTGTCATTGTCAGTGTTATGCTAGACGAAAAAGACAGAATCTTCGTTCCAATGAGAACGCTGTTCCTTGGTCTCGAGAATAAGGTTCCTGCTGAGAGGCTGAGCTAAGCCGCTGGGACCGCCTGAATGTACCCATATGTAAATAGGGCAATTCAAACAAAATGGCGGTCAATGCCAAAAAATTGGCGCCATAAATTTAATTCGAACAACCGTGACATTTTTCATCAAAAAACTGTTTTTTGTGGTGTTTTAAGATGATTGGCCTCCATTTTGAATTTCATTTTGACAGGTCGTTGGATTGCCCTATTGATTTTGTAGGTTTCCTTTTTATCTAAAGTAGGTACTGTGTTTATGTTGTTGAAGATATTTTAGTGATAACCGACAAGAAAATCTCTCAATAGTGCCAAATTATTGAGATACGTTTTCGGATACGGATACAAGACGAGGACCATAACGATACGGATAACGCAACGCAACAAAACCATTGTATCCATTCTGCGCATGCGCAGTTCGATGCGGATACTGATACGTTCGAAATTCAGGACATGCTTAAAGAGTCTAATTGCTTCACCTAAATGTGTATGTTTAACTTCTTATTGCGTTGCGTTACGGTTACGTTGTGTCAATTTATAAATCGGGCTTTATCTCTCGCTTCATCTCCAATAGTTAAAGGGAAAAATGCGAAAATCCCGTCCTAGGTCTCTCGATCTGTATAGTGCAATGCAGCCATGATTCCTTGTATTATGAAGATAAGAAAGAGTTGAATTTTCATATCTCTTTAAAGATTAAACAGACAGTTTCTAAGAATGGGGTAAAAATGCAGACAATTGTCAATATTTGTTGTTTTTTAAAAAGTGGTCTACAATGATCTGGAAGCTTGGCTCTGCAAGACTGCAAACAAACCTAACAAAAAATAAAACATGATATTGGAAAAAAAAGAATTTATTTTAAATTCAGTTAGAATTTAAACATACAAATAGAAAAATATACATGTTATTAAATAAAACGAAAAGATAAAACAATAAACATTTTACAAAGCCCTGTTACTAGGTTTATCTAGCGCAAAAAAAATATACTTCACAAGGGATACTCAACTCTTTTTAAGTACATATAAACTAAACTAAAAGAAAATAAATAGAAAAACTTGCAATGAGAAACTTGATATTTGGATTATTATGTGATTTGAACAATTATTTCAAATTAAAAAGCGATTTTTCAAATGCATCTTGTAAGAATTTGAAATAATCAATCTAATCCAATCATCTAGTTTCTTAGAATCCGAAAAAAAAATAAAAATAAATCTCTGGTTTCAAGAAGACTACGATTACACACATTTTTTTTTTTTAAATATTACTTTAACCACACCACATACCACATACATGAGATTGGATTAATTGTCATACATTTTTATTTTTCGTTTAAATTGCGTTAATGATTAATAAGTAGTCAGATAAATTGCGTGAAAAGGCGTTAAAATTAATTAATAAGATCACTCAGGTGCATCCATACAACTTTTCATTATTTCTGCTTTCACGTTTGCTGTTTGAGCTGCGCGAGTTTTATTTTAACGTCATGGAAATTCGGTCTATTTTCTGGATAAAAATCCCACGCCTAAAAGTTATTGTTAAATTTGATGAACAAGTATTTTATGAAAACGTTACCTGTCTCATTATCTGGTAAATTTCGGAAGGACAACCTTCGGGAGCTTCCATTTTATAACCATTTTCAACATGTCTGACTACATCAACTAAAGGCTGAAATAATAAACAATAAATAAGTTGGAAAATTGACACAAACAAACTTACTATTCTGGGATAAGGAACCCGACCAAAGGAATATATTTCCCAGAGCAAAATTCCAAAACTCCACATATCGGATTTATTTGAGAATTTCTAAAAAAAAAAAACAACCACACAAATTATCTAAAAAACTTCGAATTAAATAACTTACATTATGTTTGAGAGCCTCAGGTGCTGTCCATTTGATGGGCAACTTTGCCGATTCCGACGTGGCATTTTTTTCGTTCCGTGCCAAACCGAAATCCGAAACTTTAGCTCGGCCATTTTCTGCTATGAGAACATTCCGAGCTGCCAGATCTCTGTGCACGACGTGCATTTTTTCTAAGTATTCCATACCTAATAATTGAAATTTATTATTATTAGCTTCCAATTGACAAAGACACACAAAAAAAAGATTACTGCATGGGAAAATTAGATATCAGATGTTTTAAACTGTACTAAATAAAAGTTTTAGTTATGATATTAGAGGAAAATTTACAGTCAACAAAAAGGGAACGTGGAAAACCAGTAGTTTAAAAACAAATTAGATAGCATTGATAATTTATTCTTCAGTAACAAATAATCCCAATTATTCTATCTATATTTCTGCTCAAGTTCTCTACAGATAATTTCGTTTTTTTCCGGATATCTCCGTAAGTATTCGGAATATCCTAAATGTGAGAGCGGCATTTTGTTAAGCATCAAATTACGCAACTTTGTCCCAATTTAACCAACCCTGTATCTCTCACCGTTTCCGGGATCCCAATGATGTGCAGGGTATTTGATTATATTTGGACACATACCTACAGCCTTTACTATTTAAGATGGAAAAAAAATTTAAATACAAAACTTGAAAGTTTTTTTCTATATTTTCTTTTAGCGTTATCAGAAAAATCAAAATCGCATCGGAAAATGGAGAAACCTAGACCACTTCGACTTTGTTTAATGGAACAACCTGTATATTTTGTGATAAAGTGAAATATCTTTTCTTCCTGATTCCAAATATATAAATATTGATCACATTTGGGTGAGCCGTTTTTGATATATCTTAGCTTAAATTATAAATAAAATCCAAAGGGATTTTATAAAGATTTAAATGTCTTGAGATCCTTATGAAATTTCTTTGCAAATCTATATATATAAAAATGAATGCCACTTTTCGTTGTAATTTTATAACTCAAGAACGAACTCACCTAGCCAAACCAAATGTTTAGGCTTTGTTCGGACTATTTATTAGATGGTTTATGTGAAGTTTGCACAAAATCGGTCGAGCGGTTCTTCATTTATCACATTTTTTGTAATAAATTAATTATTCAATAAATGGAGGATCATTTTGCTGTCAAATTGAAACTTTTTTCAGCGTTGACAGTACCAGCATGTTGTTATGTCATTAATGTGGTCATTTCATTACTTATTCTATTTATTTATGAAAAAAATTTACGAAGCCCGCATACGGCGCCATGTCTTATAACCGATACCAAGTTTATTTTGTAATTTGTAATTTGTAAACCGCGCCATCTCTGACACAAAAGTCTCTGATACCTGGAACGAAGCTCGGCATTGCAGATACAATAGAACAATGCTGCACAGAACTATTCCACTATTCCGATCAGATAGAGTGGTGCAGAAAGAGTAGGTCAGATAGAGTAGTGCAGATAGAGTAGAACAGATGGAGTAGTGCAGTGCATGCAGTGTAGATAGAGTGAAATAGGGCTGCGCTAGAGATTTTTTTTGTTTTCTTTACATTCTTTGAACATTCCTGTGCCTGAGTTTATTTATTTGGTGGTACACTTTACAAGAATAATGCCCACAAGCTGCCTAAAAAAGGATGATGTAAAATTTTAATTTTAGGTGACTTCTGATCCAGAGAGTAAACATTAATTTTCTTCAACCAAAGGCAAATTCACCATCGAAAAAAACTTAATTTAATTCAGCTAATAGATACGTTAACACAACATTTAATAGGTACCTATATTTAATACTTCAGAGGCGGTACGAAGTTCGCCGGGTCAGCTAGTTATTTATAATTTAAGCTAAAATATGTCAAAAAAGGCTCACTCAAATGTGATCAGTATTTACGTATTTGGAACCAAGAAATAAAGATCTCTCATTTTATCGCAAAATATACAGGGTGTTCCATTAAAAAAAGTCAAAGTTGTCTACGTTTATCCATTTTCCGATGCAATTTTGTTTTCATCTGATAAGGTTAAAAAAAATATAGAAAAAAACTGTCAAGTTTCGTATTTACAATTTTTTTCTATCTTAAATAGTAAATGCTGTAGGTATGGGTCCAAATATAATCAAATACCCTGTACAGGGTGGTCCAAATTGGACACTTCCTTATGAAAACACGCTCATTTTTAGAGATAGAAAAAAATGAAACTCCACTCTGAGGCTCAAATTTCATGAAATCTTGGTTGATGTAAACCGCATTTCTTCAACCCTTTAGTCGTTAGAGGGCAATTCTTGATTTCCGTCAACACTTTCTAGAAGCACTTTTTCAAGAGGAATTCAGTGATATTCTCAGTTTTTTTTCTATTTGGCTCCGATTTCGAGATATCGACCAAAATCCGATTTTTTTCAATAGGACATTCAATATACTAATAACCCAAATGACTCATTGGAAAGCTCTATTTTTGCTGATTCCAATGACATAAAATTCGATAGGTTTATCTCTGATGGATTCCGAGGAAAGAATTATTTCGGTTTTTGTCATAAGAAACAATGTGTTGGAAAAGGACTTTTTATCTGTAACGAGAACGAGAAAGGTCTCTTTCTAACACATTGTTTCTTTTGACAAAAACAGAAATAATTTATTTTCTTGAAAACCATGAGGAATAAACCTATCGAATTTTATATCATTGAAATCAGCAAAAGCGGAGCTTTCCAATAAGCTATTAACATATAGGGTGTCCTATTGAAAAATATCGGATTTTGGTCAATATCTTGAAATAAGAGCCAAATAGGAAAAAACTGAGAACGTCACTGAATTCTGCTTAAAAAAGTGCTTCTAGAAATTCTTTACGGAAATCAATTATTTTCATAAACAAAAAACTTTTGAAGGTTTCACAGTATTGCTGAAAATCGAGAATCGCCCTCTAGCGGTTAAATGGTTGAAGATATCAAAATGCGGTTTGCACCAATCAAGATTTCATGAAATTTGAGCTTCAGAGTGAGGGGTTAATTTTTTTTTTACCTCTAAAAATAAAAGGTGTTTCCATAAGAAAGTGTCAAATTTGAACCACCCTTACATACATATAAGTATACTGACATACGTTTTTCAAATAAATATTCATATATTGATTTAGCTATCAACTATTTCTTTGGCGGATACTATAATTAATATGTACAAAAATAATTCTGATGATTATAGACATCGAGGAGGGCTTAGAGCACCAGTAAGAGGAGGGCTTACAGTACCAATAAAAGAGGGCTAAGAGCACCATTGAAAGATGGCTGAGAGCACCAACCAAAGAGCATAGAGGGCCCAACAATTTTTTTTACGGAAAATCAAATAAATAAAATATCGGAGAAAACGGTTTTTTTTTTTGTGGAAGTCTGTTTCTGCAAAAATCACAAACCAGTCAGAGCAAATTTCATTGGTTGAAAACCGTTATCAGAAAGTCAGAAAACTAGTTTCAACCATAATGAAATTCACTCCGACGGGTTTGTGATTTCTGCAGAAACAGACCTAATGATGAGTCATGACGCAGATTGCTACCTGCTTCGAAGTTACTGCTTATGCAGGGTTGCTCTCTTTAAATGTTAATATCCTATTTGTTTATCAATTACTAATTAGTTAATTTATGTATTTATTTATTAATTTATTTATTTGAGAAACAAAATAATTATTTTCAATCAATAAAGTGCTTTAATAAAGGGCGATTTTAAACATTGTAGCATTGTTAATAAGCTTCAATTTTCTTTTTCGAAAAAAAAAAGAGCAATGACCATTCTGGGCCGAAACCAAACTCAACTTTCGAACGTCACATTTTCCGAAGTATCCGAAAAGAAGACTAAGATTTCAATAAGTTATTGCTAAAAATCAGATAACATGCAAAGCGATGTTTGTTTGGAAAAAGCGAAATTGAAGCAACCGAAATAAGTATGAAAGATAAAATTATTGACAGTTGAGCATCACTGGACCTAAAAAGGAAAATTCTTGAAAAGGAACGAACTTTAAATGAAATTAAAGAGTTATGTCATATTCACGAACAGATAAGCAACCAGTCAACAACAATGGACAAGGGTACAAATGACACAGGTACATAATCAACAACAAAATCAGTGAACAAAGTAGAAGTTCAATGTAGAAGACAAACTGAGTTATGCTTAAGATGTGGTAAACCGGGTCATGCAGACAATACTTAAGCCTGCCGCGCGAAGTATATGAAATGCAAAAAGTGCGGATATCAAGGACATTATGCTATATGTTGCAAAACTAAACAATCTTTAAAGAGATCACATTCATGCACTTCGACTAACCAGAACAGTAAAAGGTATAGATCAGGAGTAAATTCGTTGAAACCGAAAATCCTGAAGGGGAAATCGATGAAGACCATATCAAAAGCTTTGATGGTTTCAAGGTGGACAACACAAAAATACTAGGACACTGGAGTCCTTCGGATGATCTTATTGAATTCCTGGTAGGGGAAGTACGGCTGACCTTACTTATAGATTCAGGATCGAAGCTTAATATTATAAATGATAAAGATTGGAAATTATTTGAGAATAACAAGGCAGTTGTTTGGAACATAGATAATTTACATAGAGACACTTTGAATGAAATCATATGCATCTGGGAAGCCACTAAAAATCAATCACCTCTTTACAACAACTATTAACTTTCCAAACGAGAATGAAATTATTACAAATTTCTATGGTGTCGTAAAGGGAGATACATATATCGTTACTAGGGAAAGATGTAGCGAAACTAAATTATCCATAGTTCGCCTTACGAGTCTAGCACTACGACGTCTGAAGGACAAGGGAGAATAACGCCAATCATTTCGAGCTTTATGCTGCCTGTCATAGGCGTGCGCGCAGCGTTTTTAAAAATTACTTCTTCCTTATAAATGTAGGTGTGTAACATAGATAAATATTAAGGTATTTTCTATTGGAAGTCAAATAGGCAATATTACAATTTTTTTATCCGCATTCTTTCCATAGTGCGTAAGGCGAACTTTAGATCCATCTCTATGTCAAACCAGTGCAACAGCCTGTTAGGAAGATTCCAATATCAGTGGAATTAGAAGTGGAAAACAAAATCAATGAAGCGTTAAAAAAAGATCTTATTAAGAGAGTTACAGAGCCCAGTGCGTGAATATCGCCTATTGGTAATAATTTTTAAACCAAAT